TCAACTTTTTAATCAAGGTACGCTGTTCTGAACAATGTCTTGAACAACCTATTTTCCTCAGAATCTCAGAGAGAAATGCACTGTAACCAGCATGCACAACATTTGCTGCCTTCCTTCCTTACATAAGGGCAATAATTGCCACCTGTTTTTCAAAGAATGAATGACCTCACTAATAGAACTCCACACTGCTATTATTTTGAACATGCCCCTTTCAATTAGTGATTCAATTACACAGAATCAGCAGCATGCATGTCATGACTGTTGGGTCTGTTGGATTTCTATTACTCTACTACACCTGCTATTAAATTATTTGCCATGTAGAAATATAATTTCTACCAAAAACAGTGACTGATCAGGTTAGTGATGTCTGACTGCTATTATTTTGAACACAACTGTATATTTATGCAAAATATGTGTTTTCCAGTGTAAGCAGTCCCAGGTCAGTTGCTGATTACATTACAAAATCAGAATGATAATAAACACTGTCATTATTCAGAACATGCAGAGGTTAAAGAAGAATTTTGGGACAACTTATCTAAGAAGGAAAATAAGTTTAATAATTTACCTTCAGGTCCCAGTTTTCCTGTACTTTGAGAAAAGATCGTAAGCAATGTATACATCCTCCCACCTCCTCCAGCTTGTAATCTTGAATATTTCTCAAAGACATCTGTGGGAAATATTTCTGTTTGACTCACTGCCAAGTCACTGTACAACCCGGCAACATTAGATTGCTTGGTTGGAACTTGCAAGAGTGGAAATGTAAGTGAACAGACCATAGGAACTGGCATGCACTGCAGAAAGGAGGTGAAGGCTTTATTTTGATTTCATGTGGAATTTCTTTTGATAAGTAAAAGCTCCTGGAAATGATTGGTTGTGCTTTATTAAAATTGCACTTTGATGTCATCTTTGCTTCTTGATTACAAGGAGAATGCATTAAAGGGCATGTGAGCAGGAATATATAGATTTGATAGAACTCTAAAATGATGTCATGTTTCTATGGCAGTGAGCCCATGTTGAAAGCCAACTCGGGGTTCCCCAGGGCATGGAGTCTAAGCTCCTGCCTGTTTCTTCACCAGGGCCTGATGGTGGGGATGGACTTACAGTAAAATGGACCCAGGTACGTCCGGATGACATTGCGAAAACCATTCAAGTGTGCAGAGTACAGATGGCAGGAGAGAGAAGAGGGTCCAGGAAACGAGCCAAAGCCAGTGTGGGTGACAGGCAATCGAAAACAGTAGCTGGAGCCAGGGTCGGTACATGGGTAGTCAGGCACAAAATACAAGGCAAATCAGGAGCACAGAGAAACTAGGAAGCTGCTCAGGCCACACGGGCTGCACTAAGCATGTCTTATATAGGGAAGCAGAGAGGGTGGTGAGCCAGAAAGTAATAGAAGGGAAAGGGATATAAATCCACAGTAGAGCAGGTAACGCCCATAGGTGAACACAGAAGCCAGCAGCCTATATGAATGGAATCACCACTGCAGCAAGGAGTAAGCATTGCACAAACAGAAAAGTGCAGGCTAAACTGTGACAGATGAGGTGAAGATTCAGTTTAATATTCAATAGGCACCTATATTTTGAGGTCACACAGGACATCTTTGACCAGGTCAATGATCCTACGTGCTAGTGGCTATGGTTTATTACAATTGCATATTCAAACTATTCTACGATGAATGGTTATCTTGATCTTTGCCATCTGACAACAGTGCAATAGTTATAGCTGAAATTGTAAATGGTTAAAAGTGATGAATGCCCCACAAATCTGGACACCAGGACTTTGATGAAGCTGCTGGGAAAACTATAGCATGCTTCAATAGGGGGATTCCTCCTTTACCATCTTGCTTTGAAACAATGAAATAAAACCATTAATCAGTAATTTTACATGTTATACCCATATTCACACACAATCCTCTGTTTTCACAACGAGCAGGAGATCTTCTCCCCCTATTTGTTGTCACAATTTAAGCCCCTACGGGGCTCCGCTTGCCTGGCCTCTTCATTTGTGCAGAGTTCTGTGAATGTGAAAATGACAAGTACCAACAGCCTTTGAGGTTGTTGGCTTGTAGTTCTCAATGAACTACCAGGACGCTGTTGAGCCCTCTGAAAAAAAATGTACAAATGCATATCTTTTTTCCAGGTAAAAAAAATGTAAATTTTTTTCATTTAAATTTTTTTTTTACAAAGGTGAACTTATTCCTTAATGAGATGAGTCTGCCAAAGACTTTTTCAGCATCTAAGCACAATATTAATGTTTCTTCTGATGGTACAGTTCACTATATCAATAAGGTAAATTGTACTTCTGGTGTTATTGCCAGCCAATAGGTTGTAAACAAATCCTATGTATGCATGGTTGTGGGAAAAAAGGGTGTCCTTGGACAGTGCTAGCAGCATGGACAAGGTACGACAGGGTTTCCCTGTACTTTTATACATAACGGTTCCTGCTTTACATATCTTAATGGCTTTGTAGTGCACACTACATCCTTATTGTACAACATATACCACAGTGGACACAAGCATTTCATAAGACACAGAGGTAGGCAGACTTGCACTTTTAGTGTTTGCCATAGCTCTATTGACTCACTATTTGACATAGTGGGTATATTTATTATAGTGTTTACCTATTCTTATTTGGTGGTCTTTTTCCACCTCCCAACCATAAGTTCCTCTCCAGTTTAGTGACGTTGTGTTTATAGGACTAGTGTATGTGCTTTTCTGGCTGCTATTTTATAGCAACAACCCAAGCTCTTGTTTGCCACACCACCTGTTGTTGGATTCTGCAGGGACACTTGAAATAGGTTAGTACTTGGGTTGTCGCCTCACACCGTAGATGCTGAACCCTCTGAATCCACATCCATTCCGTGGGTACCGCATAGAGGAAGATTCTCACATGACAGTGGAGGATTCCAGGCTTTTGGGAGTGTGAACAGGACAAACAGCCTTGAGTTTGCTGCAGGCCCTGAGGAAACTCCAAGTTCTTTTCAAGTTGATAGTGGTTCCCTCACCACTCCAGCCCCATGACTCCGGCTCCCTTACAAGTGCACATTGTGTGTCCTGTTTAACTAAGGCAGAATTTACAGCCACTATGTCTGACCTATTCCAGAGGCTATAATCACTTCTGGAATCAGATGCAAGCTCTTTTTACCTTCACCTGATTATAATTCTACCCTAACACCAAAATTACCTTACACACGTGGTGGCACAAACCAAGGGGGAAGCTGACATTCCATTCCAGCAGAGGCACTTGAAGGTTTTCCTCCACCACAATTTAGAGACATTACTTACTTCCTCTCTCAACGTATGTTGGCTACTGTGGGTTTATTGATCGTGGCAGTCTTTGGATAAATACTCCTAGCGCTCCGCAGCTCTCATATGTTCAAAAATGTGGGCCTTTTTAGAAAGCCCTTTCATTCTCTGGATCAGGCAAGTTGGGTTTTATACAATGATTGGCCAAACCCAGGAGAGGTTACTCCCCATTCCTGGTAACTTTGAAGCCTTGTATCTTATGGATGCAGAATTTAACAAAAAATGGTTTATCCACATTGTGGACCTGGCCATTCTTGCATTGAATGCTCAATCTACCATTTCTATTAAGGATGCTCCCTCCTTTAAAGATTCAGTGGATAGGCGTTTGGAGAGTTTTCTAAAAATTCTCCTTTGTGCTAGCTGGCTGTGTTCACCTTCGCATTTGTCCAAATTATGGCTGCTTGGGTTGGAGAAATTCATGATGAGGTTTAGGGGCCTATAAAGCATCTAGCATTTATTCTTCTTTAAGCAGCGCAACTTCCTGAAACCATTTCTTGTTTCTCCCTAAACGTTGGGTACTAGGCAACTGTGGAGTCTTCATTGTTGCTTGTTAACAGCAGAAGTACCTCCCTCCTTTACCAGTTTGTTTAGATCTGTTGAGCCCTCTTGTTTTGTATGGTTACCAACTCTTCAATAATTGCTTGGGGATGTCTCATGGATGATGAATCAATACCTGTGTCCTGTACTGTACGATAAAGATACCAGAAAGTTTGTACCTGTAAATTCCTTATCTTGGAGTACAGGACACAGGTCCCTCCCATCTCTTCTCTGGGATCTCTTAATTGCTTGCTAACAAAATTGGACCCTCACAGAGTGGATATAGGGACACTAGGGGGTGAATCCAGAGAAGCCTTTTGCCAGTGGCCAAGCACCTGAGAGTAGCAACATTTAACCTATGTTTGATGAATCAATTCCTGTGTCTTGTACTGTATTCCAGGATATGGGATTTACAGGTACTTCAAAATTCTTCCTTTTTCCAAACTGGGCAGAAAGTGAATACCGTAATGTACTTAAATGGTTTGAGGAGGACTATACTATGAGAACTGAGCATCAAGGTTGGAATCTGCTGAAAATTTAGCAAGGAATTGTACAGTTTAGTAATCAGTGAGAGGAGTGTGTATTTAAATGTCTTTGCAGTATAATAAGTAAGCCAGTCGACCAGGCAATTTGCTGCAATTTTTATCACCCAATCTATTTTTTTAATAGTTATGGAATATCAAGGAAGTCTAAGCCCTATCTTGATAGTTTGGAGATTTTTGAAGGAAGTAGGCTTGAATGCAAGATGTAGATCAGGGTGCTGCATGTTGTATGCGGGTTTCCTTAACCACTAGCCTATAGGGCACTTATACCCCCTTCCTGCCAGGCCAATTTCCAGCTATCAGCGCTGTCACACTTTGAATGACAATTGCGCGGTCATGCAACACTGTACCCATATGATATTTTTATCATTTTTTTGTGACAAATAGATTTTTATTTTGGTGGTATTTAATCACCTCTGGGTTTATTTTTCTTACGCAAACCAAAACCACTGAAAATTTTGGGGAAAAAAAACTATTTTTCTTAGTTTTGTTATAAAATTTTGTAAATAAGTGATTTTTCTCCTTCACTGATGTGCGCTAATGAGGCTGTAGTGATGGGCACTGATAGACTGCACTGATGGACACTGATAGGTGGCACTGATGATGCACTGGTAGGTGGCACTGATGGACATTGACAGGCATCACTGATGGGCACTGAAAGGCAGCACTCATATATGGCACTGATAGGCGGCACTGCCTGTCACTGTTAGGCGGCACTGACTGGCACTGATAGGCGGCACTTGCACTGATAGGCGGCACTGACTGGCAGCACTGATAGGTGGCACTGACTGGCATTGATAGGTGGCACTGATGGGTGACACTGAAAGGCAGCTCAGATGGGCACTAATATGTGGCATTGATGTGCACTGGTAGGCATTGAAATGTGGCACTGATGGGCACTTGCAGGTGGCATGGATGAGCACTGACAGCTGGCACTGATGGACACTGACAGGTGGCACTGCTGGGGCTACACAGATCATCAGGGCACACTGATCATCAGTGCTCTGATGATCTGTGTACATGTCCCTTCCGAGGAATGCCGATTACCGGCTCGCCTCTTCTCACGAGCTGTCAGCATGACAGCTCGTGAGGAGAGAAATGCCGATAACCTGCATTTCCCTGTTTACATGTGATCAGCTGTGATTGGACACAGCTGATCACATGACTGAGCCGACATCTTCGGCTCTTTCCGTTGATCGGTGATCCGCTGTGTCCCAGGGAATGGGAGGACGTCATATGACGTCCTCCCAGAACGAGAGAACCGCCTTGCGCCCGTCATTGTACTATATGGCGGGCGGGAGGCAGTTAAAGAAGAACTCCGGGATAGGCAAAAAAATCACCCATTGGTACACCCCCCTACACAAAACACTAAACACTTAATAACATTTTGAAAATCAATGAAAAGACAATTTAGTAGAAAAATCTAATTGAATTTTCATGACCTCGTCTCTGTAATTCAAAAGATAGCATCTGCTCTGCCAAGGAGGAGGTATAACAGCAGGGATTACATCATATCCCCTCCTCTCTCTCTCTCTCTCTCTCTCTCTCTCTCTCTCAGTAAAAGGAAACTACAGTTCTCATCAGCCAAAGGTAATTGTAGTGAATATGGGAGGGTACACTAGACCTGTACATGTTGAATGTGTCTGAGAGTCTCAGTTCCCCAACCACTGCAAGTGGGCTGAATTATATCACTGCTTCCTAGAGAAAGAACTACAGAAGGGATGTGCCAAGACCAGTGGCTGAAGGAATAGGAGGCATACCAGCCACTGGTCTTACAAACAGGAAACTAAAGATAATTAACAGTTTGATTTGAAAATGAATATGTTATTTCAGAGCAACTACTGAGTGCACCAGAAGATGGATGACATATTCAGTGCAGGTAGGAAATCAGCAACAAGAACATGTAAAGAAGTTTTTGTCCGGAGTTCTGCTTTAAAATTGTATAGGCATGTCTAATAGACTTCAAAAGTGGACAAAACTTTAGTAGGGTCAAAATGTTCCACACCTTGTTTGTCTTTGATAGAGTGTATGGTTTTAGCAGACAAACATGCTTCAATTCAAGTGATATAATCTAAAGAACAATAACAGAGAAAACAACAATGAAATGAATACAATTAAATGATATCTCACATGAGTGGACAATGGCCAAGTATTACCCTTTTTTCGTTGTAGAAGGAGATGGGGGTAGAGTTCAGTTATATAGTGCAACATTCACTCCTTGCAGTTTCCCCGTTTGAGACACTTATCAGCCACTAAAGAAGAAGTGCGCAAAATGAAAAAGATATACAGTTGCAAGAAAAAGTATGCGAACCCCTTGGGATTACGTGGCGTTTTGCATGAATTGGGCATAAAATGTGCTCTGAACGTCATGTAAGTCACAATAATAGAAGAACACAGTCTGCTGAACATAATACTACACAAACATTAGATGTTGCCATGGTTTAATTGCACATAACATGTAAACATTCGCAGTGCAGGGAGGAAAAAGTATGTGAGGCCCTAGCTTAATGACTTCTCCCAGAGCTAATTGGAGCCAGGAATGAGCCAACCTTGACTCCAATCAGTGTGATGATATTGGATGTGTTGCTGACAGCTGTCCTGCCCTTAAAAAACACACACCTGTTTTGGGTTTACTGGTTTCAAGAAGCACTGTCTGATGTGAACCATGCCTCGCAGAAAAGAGCTCTCAGAAGACCTACGATCAAGAATTGTTGACTTGCATGAAGCTGGAAAGGGTTACAAAAGTATCTCCAAAAGCCTTGATGTTCATGTGTCCACGGTAAGACAGACGGTCTACAAATGGAGAAAGTTTAGCACTGTTGCTACTCTCCCTAGGTGTGGTCGTCCTGTAAAAATGACTGCAAGAGCAAAGAGCACAGCGCAGAATGCTGCATGAGGTAAAGAAGAATCCCAGAGAGTGTCAGCTAAAGACCCACAGAAATCTCTGGCACATGCTAACATTTTTGTTGACACATCTACAATAAGGAAAACATTAAACAAGAATGGAGTACATGGGAGGACACCACGGAGGAAGCCATTGCTGTCCAAAAAGAATATTGCAGCACGTTTGAAGTTTGCAAAAGAGCACCTGGATGTTCCACAGCACTACTGGCAAAATATACTGTGGACAGATAAAACCAAGATTGAGTTGTTTGGGAAGAACACACAACACTATGTGTGGAGAAAAAAAGGCACAGCACATCAACATCAAAACCTCATCCCCACTGTAAAACATGGCGGAGGGAGCATCATGGTTTGGGGCTGCTTTGCTGCCTCAGGGCCTGGACGGATTGTTGTCATTGATGGGAAAATGAATTCCAGAGTTTATCAAGACATTTTGCAGGAAAACGTCCGACCATCTGTCCGCCAACTGAAGCTCCGCAGAGGATGGGTGATGCAACAGGACAATGACCCAAAGCATACAAGTAATTCAACAAAACAATGGCTGCAACAGCACAGAATACGCCTTCTGGAGTGGCCCAGTCAGAGTCCTGACCTCAACCCGATTGAAATGCTGTGGCATGACCTTAAGAGAGCGATTCACACCAGACATCCCAAGAGTATTGCTACACTGAAACAGTTTTGTGAAGAGGAGTGGTCCAAAATTACTCCAGATCGTTGTGCAGGTCTGATCTGCAACTACAGGAAACGTTTTTGGTTGAGGTTATTGCTGCCAAAGGAGGGTCAACCAATTATTAAGTCCAAAGGTTCACATACTTTTTCCTCCCTGCACTGTGAATGTTTACATGTTATGTGCAATTAAACCATGGCAACATCTAATGTTTGTGTAGTATTATGTTCAGCAGACTGTGTTCTTCTATTGTTGTGACTTAGATGACTTCAGAGCACATTTTATACCCAATTCATGCAAAACTCCACGTAATCCCAAGGGGTTCACATACTTTTTCTTGCAACTGTACATACTCACCTTTATGGCTGCAGCATCGGCCTGATGTTGTAGCTGTCCCCCGCCAGCTTTAAGACAGAGAACTGAGCAATTAGACAGTGTTGATCACTCAGTTCTCGGTCTTTACTGAACAAAGAATGGTGACTGTCATTCACTGGCTTTCCGCTCTGCCCCTCCAGTGTTCACTGGAGTGCTGGGTTGTGGAGGGCACAGGAGTGGCTGGCTAAGGCTTTCAGTACCTTGCTTAGAAACTGAGCAAGTTGCTTTAGCCCACTGTTGACTACATCTGGGTCACAGAAGTGCAGAAATATGTGCACTCCTGTGACCCAGAAGAGAAGTATGGCCAAAAGAGCTTTGGCCATAAGGGAGAGTAGACGGCAACTACAGAAAAACGACAATGGTTTTATAACTGGAGCTAATGCAGACCTTTAAAATTATAAAACGAAGACAAACTTATTCAGGAGGTGCTTAGTTTCCAAGTATGTTGTTGACACATACAGTCATGGCCGAAATTGTTGGCACCCTTGATATTTCTCCAGGAAATCATGTATTTCTCACGAAACGTATTGCATTAACACATGTTTTGCTATACACATGTTTATTCCCTTTGTGTGTATTGGGACAAAACAAAAAAAGGGAGGAAAGAAAGCAAATTCGACATAATGTCACACAAACCTCCAAAAATGGGCTGGACAAAAGTATTGGCACCCTTTCACAACTGCGGATAAATAAGAATGTTACAAGCATGTGATGCTCCTGTAAACTCACCTGGGGCAAGTAACAGGTGTGGGCAATATAGAAATCACACCTGAAAGCAGATAAAAAGGAGAGACGTTCACTTAACCTTTGCATTGTGTGTCTGTCTGTGCCACACTAAGCATGGACAACAGAAAGAGGAGACGAGAACTGTCTGAGGACCTGAGAACCAAAATTGTGGCAAAATATCAACAATCTCAAGGTTACAAGTCCATCTCCAGAGAACTAGATTTGCCTTTGTCCACAGTGCGCAACATTATCAAGAAGTTTGCAACCCATGGCACTGTAGCTAATCTCCCTGGTCGTGGACGGATGAGGAAAATTGATGAAAGATTGCAACGCAGAATAGTCCGGATGGTGGATAAGCAGCCCCAAACATGTTCCAAAGACATTCAAGCTGTCCTGCAGGCTCAGGGAGCATCAGTGTCAGCGCGAACTATCCGTCGACATTTAAATGAAATGAAACGCTATGGCAGGAGACCCAGGAGGACCCCCACTGCTGACACAGAGACATAAAAAAGCAAGACTACAGTTTGCCAAAATGTACTTGAGTAAGCCAAAAGCCTTCTGGGAAAACGTCTTGTGGACAGATGAGACCAAGATAGAGCTTTTCGGTAAAGCACATCATTCTACTGTTTACCGAAAACGGAATGAGGCCTACAAAGAACAAAACACAGTACCTACGGTAAAATATGGTGGAGGTTCAATGATGTTTTGGGGTTGTTTTGCTGCCTCTGGCACTGGGTGCCTTGACTGTGTGCAAGGCATCATGAAATCTGAGGATTACCAAAGGATTTTGGGTCGCACTGTAGGGCCCAGTGTCAGAAAGCTGGGTTTGCGTCCAAGATCCTGGGTCTTCCAGCAGGACAATGACCCCAAACATACGTCAAAAAGCACTCAGAAATGGATGGCAAAGAAGCGCTGGAGAGTTCTGAAGTGGCCAGCAATGAGCCCAGATCTAAATCCCATTGAACACCTGTGGAGAGATCTTAAAATTGCTGTTGGGAAAAGGTGTCCTTCCAATAAGAGAGACCTGGAGCTGTTTGCAAAGGAAGAGTGGTCCAAAATTCCGGGTGAGAGGTGTCAGAAGCTTATTGATGGTTATAGGAAGCGACTGATTTCAGTTATGTTTTCCAAAGGGTGTGCAACCAAATATTAAGTTAAGGGTGCCAATACTTTTGTCCAGCCCATTTTTGGGGTTTTGTGTGACATTATGTCATATTTGCTTTTCTGCCTCTGTTTTATATTTGTTCCAATACATACAAAGGGAATAAACATGTGTATAGCAAAACATGTGTTAATGCAATACCTTTTTTGTGTGAAATACTTGATTTTCAGGAAAAATATCAAGGGTGCCCAACAATTTCGGCCATGACTGTATATATTTGTAGCTATACATTGTCACGTACCTCAGTGTATGTGTTTAAAATGTCTGTTCGGTAAAGATGTTTTTAGAATCTCTGCAATCTGGGTCACCATTAGGGAGGATACTCCTGTCTTCACCAGACATGTAGTGAGGAGAAATTTGCATCAGGGACGTAGACAGCAATACAATGCCTGTTTTATGTAGAGTCGT